ATAGATGATAATATATTTTTACCCAAAAACTAGTTTTGAATATATTTTATAATTATGCCATTTCAATATTATGTTATATATGGGGATGTGCATTTAACTGAGAAAACCAAGAAACTTTGATTCGGTCCGGTTATTGTTAGAAATTCGGTTTATTCGGTTTAAGATGCGAAAAATTGAAATATTTTGGGGGGCACATTTCTTTAGTTCGAGGCTCGAGCAGCGGCGCTCAATCGGCTGCGCGCGGAGTGTGTTCGATTGGATTTCCTCTCTTTCACAAATTCAATTGACTTTCTTACGGTTATTCCGTTTGAATTTAATTCGTGTCCGTCAATCAAATTTCTTTGCTTACTCGTTGGAACTCGATGGACGGCAAAACGCAAAAATCTAGGGCTGCGTTGATGAATCTATCGCCCTGCGATGTTGAAGCTCTCAGGAAATGTTTGCAGGAAAACAATGGGGATCGCATTAAGTGCGAGTCTCAAATACAAGCCTTCAAGTTGTCTTGCTCCCTGAAGAAACCAAATCCATCCTTGCAATCGGTAAGAGACGGCCTCGAGACTGGTGTTTGATCTCTATGGCTTAGCCCTTTTTATTGAATTAGAGTTCAACGGAGAAATTTGTTTACAGATTGTAATGGATCTATTTTTCTGCTGAGTTATTTCTTGGCATTAAAAATTTCAACATTCCATCGTTAACTCGTCAACTTCAATTCAATCTTTTGAATTTCTTGGGTAGTACTAATGACTGTTCGGTTTCATTTCTGTGTTTCTGTGATTCTTCTCTCTTCAAATTTCAGTTGGTCTCTGTTTGACAGCTTTGTAAATGTGTATTGGAATTTGGAAATTGTTCAGCTCAACAAGGAAAAAAAATAATCTCGAATTATGTTTTTCAATCTCAATTTTAGAGCAATGTCACTAGAAAGATGATGAACATCAAAATTTCATTAACAAAAACTTCAAATTTAACATCATTACTATATTTATGTTCGACTATCGATGTCACACATATACATGTGGATAAAGACTTTATACCTACTCTCAACTTGGGATTACCATTTCCTTTATGGCAACAAAAACAGAGACAAACACCATTAGCGAAGCTTGCTTTAGCTCCAAAATTTTCACCTTTCCCAATATTCTTTTCATAAAAGTTCATTCAAATGGAAAGTTTGTTGATCCAGTTATGTAGATACTAATCAATGCACTCTGAGTTCAAAGTAGATTAAAAAAAAGCTCAATACAAGTCAAGAAGAGTATGTACTGTAAATCTGTGAAAACAATTTGCACAATCCAAGCCTACCGCTAGTAGATATTGTTCTTTTTGAGTTTTTCCTTTCGGGCTTCTTTTCAAGGTCTTAAAAACACGTCTGCTAAGGAGAAATTTTCACACTCTTATAAAGAATGTTTTGTTCCCCTTTCTATTCGATGTGAGATCTCACAATCCACCCATCTTCAGGGCAAACGTCCTCGCTGGCACTCGTTCTTCTCTTCAACAACGTAGAATCTCATGGGGAGTTCAATAATAAGTCTGGTGGTTGAGAATGTACAACACGATATTGATGATAGGAACAATCCAATCGAAATTTCCCTTAGTGATTATCAAAACATGGAATGATCAATCACTTTTCAAGAGAAATTTAATGGAGATTATAATGAGTATGGTTTGATTAGGGAGAAATTAAGAGAGTTGTGATAGCTTGAATTAACTTAATCACAGAGCAAACATGCAACAGAAGGAAAACAAGAAGGTTTCTGCATTTTCACTCCAACAGCCAAAGACCAACCAAACCTTCAGATGAGAGAGGGGAGAAGTCCTTTTCTATTCAGAAACCATGTTCTTTCAGAATGCTAAACTCTCTGTACACTAATATGTACGTCATGCCAAGCCAAACTGTGAGATCCCACATCAGTTGGGGAGAAGAACGAAACATTTTTTACAAGGGTGTGGAAACCTCTCCCTAGCAGACGCGTTTTAAAAACCTTGACGGGAAGCATAAAACGAAAAGCCCAAGGAGGACAACATCTACTAACGGTTGACGGTGGACTCTGTTCTTTTCTTTTTCCCTTCTAAAGAAAGTTCTTATATTTTTTCTGAATTTCCCTTCATGAAAACGAAAAGAAACCAATAAAACAAACATGGCTTCTTATCAGTCCCATGTCTCTTTCTTCTTAACAACCCCCTCTCCCTCCTCCTTTGAATTGGAAAAGAAGAAAAAAAAAAAAGAACAGACAGAAGAAAGCAGAAACATCTAGCCCAAATGCTAAGCAAGGTTAGGTAAGAGAGAAACCTTAAACACCATAAAAAATAGCATATCTATTCTCTGGGAGATTGTCAAAAACAGCATATCTATTCTCTGGGAGATTGTCAAATGTAACAACTGTCTCAAGGAAGAACTCTTCTAACCTGGCTAGCTTTCCTAGGATCTGGATTTCGCTTCGCTTTGCTGTTTGTATTTGTGTTTTTAGCCATAGAAGTTGCTTTCTTCCGTTAGAAAATAATGCAGCTTCATATATCACCAAGTTTGAGGCATGTCACAGTGCTTCCAGGCAAAGGTGTTAGAGAGTACATCAAAGTGAAGGTTTCATCAAGGTGGGCTTCATATCGAACGCTTATCTATTTGCTTCTATTCTTCACCTTCCTTCTCCGGTTTGTGTTCGTGTTGACAGCAGTTGATACAATCGATGGAGAAAGCAAGTGTTCTACTCTAGGTACATTCATCCTCAACTTCTCTCTCTCTAAAAGTATGGCAGCTTCTAATAGTCTAAACTTCTTGATCTTATGGTAGGTTGTCTGGGGGAAAAATTAGTCCCAAAGCTTTTGGGGAGCAGATTGGAATCAGAAGTAATCTCCAAACCTCTGCCGTGAAGGCATAATTCAATGTCTATATAGGCACTGTTAATGAACCTTCTATATTTTGTTTGCTTTTGGTTCAGGTTCCAGATGTCATGTATCAAATATTGGATAAACCCATGAGAAAAGATGAACTTCAAGGAAGATTAGACAATATCCCACAGACTTTAGAAGACTTTATGTCTGAGATCAAGGAAAGCAAACCAGATGCAGAAACTTTTGCCCTCAAACTCAGAGAAATGGTTATGATCTCTCATCTCTAAGTTTATGATTGTTTGTTATCCTTCAACCTCTTGAAACATACCCAGAAACTCCAATTCTGTTGGTGTTATGTGTGTGAGGATAATTGAGTGAAACAGAGTTCAAGAGTTTTTAGTCCAAGATCAAGGGAGTTGTGGCAATCATTTAAGAAACAAATCACCGCTGTCGGAAATATGAGCTTTAGTATTGATATTTTGTAGGTTTCATTATCATAGAGGTGTTAATGAGAATTTATTGTGTATTTTGCAGGTTAGCCTTATGGAACAAAGAACCAGAACTGCTAAAATCCAAGAATACTTGTACAGGCACATAGCATCTAGCAGCATACCGAAGCAGCTGCATTGCCTTGCCCTCAGGCTTGCTAACGAGCACTCGACCAATGCAGCTGCTCGCCTCCAGCTTCCTTCAGCTGAACTTGTGCCAGCCCTTGTTGACAATTCCTACTTTCACTTTGTCCTAGCTACTGACAATGTGCTTGCTGCATCTGTCGTTGCCAAATCCCTCGTTCACAACGCTTTATGCCCACAGAAAGTTGTTCTCCATATAATCACCGAGAGAAATACTTACTTCCCTATGCAAGCATGGTTTTCCCTTCACTCTTTGTCACCTGCAATTATTGAGGTTAAGGCATTGCATCATTTTGACTGGTTTGCAAAGGGGAAAGTCCCAGTTTTGGAAGCAATGGAGAAAGATCAGAAGGTCCGGTCACAGTTCAGGGGAGGGTCCTCTGCCATTGTTGCAAATGAGACCGAAAAACCTAATATCGTTGCAGCAAAGTTGCAGGCACTGAGTCCTAAATATAATTCCGTGATGAATCACATTCGTATCCACTTACCAGAGGTAAAGGAATTCATTCTACACCCTCATCGTCTTTCTGAAAGCGGATTTCTTCCATATTTTCTTGGAAAATGTCAAGAAAGTATTCTATCAAAACTCCTATACGACCTATCTTTTATATTTTACTATGTGAATGCTCATGAACTGCACATTCTCTATGCAGTTGTTCCCAAGTCTCAAGAAGGTCGTATTCTTGGACGACGACATCGTGATTCAAACTGATCTTTCACCTTTATGGGACGTCAAAATGAATGGGAAGGTTAATGGAGCAGTGGAAACGTGTACAGGAGAAGATAAATTTGTAATGTCCAAGCGATTAAAGAACTATTTGAACTTCTCCCATCCTTTAATAGCAGCAAATTTCAATCCTAATGAATGTGCATGGGCTTATGGGATGAACATCTTTGATCTTGAGGCCTGGAGAAAGACTAACATAAGCCTCACATATCATCACTGGTTGGAACAGGTAAGCTCAATTCAATAGTTTGTGCTACATTGTTTATCCTACATTTCCAACATATTTTGGCTGAATGGAAACTGTTTCATATACAGAATTTGAAATCAGACCTAAGTTTATGGCAGCTTGGGACTTTACCTCCAGGATTGATAGCATTTCATGGTCACGTTCATATCATCGATCCATTTTGGCATATGCTAGGCCTAGGGTATCAAGAGAATACAAGTTTGGCCGATGCAGAAACTGCGGGAGTCGTCCACTTCAATGGCCGAGCAAAACCATGGCTTGAGATAGCATTTCCACAGCTCCGGCCATTGTGGACAAAATATATCAACTTCTCTGATAAATTTATCAAGGGCTGCCACATACAAGCTTCCTAGGTTGGGAAGAAATTTTCTACAACTACATGATTACTAAGTACTTCGATACCGAGTATGGATGACGGTTGCACCTCTTACTTTCGGATCCTCCTTGCTATTCATTCTTTTCTCTATTCCCATCTTTCAATGCTATTAACTTTTTGTTTCCTTATACACATAAAATCCATATACCATTTCCAAATTTTTGTAGATTTATGTAGTTCAGTCATGTTACAAGATTGAAAAGCAAATACATTCAGTGTAGATCAGATCTAAAGGCAAACAGATGATTTGTAAGACAATGACATGAAATCAAAACTTACTTTTTCCCAGTTACATTTGACACCAAGTCCTTCAAGAACTTTGCAGACTTGGTGATGGGTGAATTCATGGCCATCAAATTGTACAACACATTCTCGACTTCTGTGATCGATGGCCTCGCCTTGAACTTCGAAACCGCCTTCAGTTCTCCTCCTTCCTCTTCAACAAGCACATTCCATAGCTCACCACTCAAAACCCCATTTCTCACACACTTGAAAATCACCCCTTTTCTCTTGTTCAAAATCCCTTGAACTTCCAAACCCATGAAGGAATAAATGACATCAAAAGACCCAACAAATCCACTCAAGTCACCAAATTCACTCTCCTCCTCAAATGCCCATTTGGGGTTGAAAATCACCACTGGATTGGGATACAAAAGATCAGTAATACTCTTTATAGTTCGAATTTGAGAAGATTCTGGCCCCAGAAACACTGCCACAACACTAGAATTCGAAACTCTGGCATCTAAACCATCCATTGAGGAAATGTCTATTTGTTCAATTTGGTCTGAAGAACAAGAAAGAAAGGCTTTACTGGCAGCATCAGCCAAGATGGGGCTTGGCCAGAGGAGTAAAATTTTAACAGGGGAACCTTTTATCTTAATGGGTAGGTCCCCAAACATCTCAAAAGCGAGGTCAGTCAGAGACCTGGGCGATTCATCAATGACCGGAATCTCGACGCGGAATCTGGGTTGCTTTGCTTTCTTGACGATCCTGCCGGGAAATCTAATGTTGTTGAGGGGCTTTTGGAGTGTGGTACAGAGGCAGGTTTTGGCCTGAGAAACGGCTTCTTCCTTTGAGGTGGGTGGGGTTGAAGAAGACAGAGAGGAATGAAGCGTAGTAGCAAGGGTTCTTTTTAATTTGTGAGTTGCATGAGGATAGAAGGAGACCTGGAAATGGTGAATTGGGAAAACCTGAGAAGCCGGAAACGTTAGAAGAGGGGAGAAATTTTTGGTGGGGAGTAGATTGGGGAATGGGGAAGAAATAGCAGCTTCGGTGATTTGGAAAGGAAATTTGAGAAGATCGGTGGCCATCTGATGAGAGAAAACAGGAGGGAACTGAGAAACTAATTGTTCATCAAAGCTCCAGCAATAACCGGATAATGTTGCTCCGCCGGGTAGAACGTTAGCAAACAGATATTTCTTTGTCTGGTTTCAATTACTTTCTATGGACCTACTATATCGTGATTTATCTAAAACTCCCCCAATCACAATTAAGACGATTGAAATGAACTTTTTATCATTTTGGAGGAAAGATCCCGCAAAATGTTTCTGTACTTGAGAAAGGGCCAGCGGATGATACTCAAGAGGGAAGAAAAAGAAGAGGAAATTCAGTCTCTCTGGCTGTAATGCAGGCAAACATCACATTGTTATGCCTATTCTTCTCATGAACATTCATATGCTGGATTAACTTATTCACATTTTTACATGTAAAAACCAGCATTGATTCCATAAATAGTCTACAGGTTGCAAATACAGTCAAGATCAATGATTCCACCATATTATCCACCAGTTAAAACGAAGTTTTGAAGTATGTGTCAAGAACAATGGTAGAATCAGTACAAATGTTTGGGTCAAAATATGCAATCCCAACCCACCCTGGTAGTTTTCTGGCTGCCTAATTAAGCAACAGGGGGTCGAAGTACGTGATCTTGCGAGGTGTCAACAGCTGCAGGTGGCATGAACTGCCACATGGCAACTCCTGGGTAGCCAATGAAGGGAACCAACTTGTTTCCAGGTGCTTGGCCTTGTGCTGCAAAAGTTGCAGGGATGGCTGGAGGCATGAAGCCAGGTTGTGAATTCGTGGCTTTTAGTTGCTGCTCCAACTTCTCCTTCTCCAGTTTTAGCCTATGCTTCTCATCACGAAGCTCATTCTTCTCAGCCTAAAAAAGTGGGAAAAGTGAAAATTTGAAGTCTTATAAGTACGCAAATCAAAATCCTCGCCTCACTAATGTTACAGTACGCAAGATTCTTTCAAGTGGAATTTACTAATGTAATGGAAATACTTGGAGATTATACTCAGAGATTAGAGTAAGTTTCTTCTCGGTTAGATAATTGTACAAGACCTACCTTCAAATCTTTAATCTTCTCTAATAGGCTTGTATTTGAGTCCTTCAACACCTGGGCTTCACCGCGTAACTGAGTGACCATTCGAACAGCATCAATCAAAATGGCAGCCTTGTCGGTCTTCAGTGCCCTTCCAGGCTCCAGAGTAGCACTCAATTCCAAAAATCTGTCAAGTTTCATATGCTCATTCCTTATAGAAATAAAACATATGCTTCTCGGTACATGCATATGCATTATCAAGCAAGTGTGAGAGAGAGAAACAAAGAGGAGGATTACTTGTCATTTAATCTGTCCCTCCGCAGCTTCTCCCTACATGCTTTTGAGCTAGATGCACAACTTGATTCAGTTCTGACCCTGCAGCGTTTAATTTGATTGCTCGTTAGTTATTCTTCTTTTCACTCCCCTTTGGGACAGGGGGAGGAATAGGAGGTTCAGTAATTTGTTCAAGAAAACATACTTGTTCTATATGTATCGTTACAACCATCCATATAGATTCCTTCAACTCTAATAATGTAATGTAATTGAGTGAAAAGTTAAATTCAATTGCTATATGAAATTTTCCCCTAAAAGAAGATATCTTAACAGCTTGCAAATAGTTCTTTCTTTTACCGGACTTCTAAGAATAGCAACCAGACAGTAAGAGCTGGAAACGGCCTCTCCTCCCCTAACCCAAAGGAAATCTTAGTCTGCCTCTCAGCTTCATTTGCTGAGTTTAGGGAGTCAAAATGTGCCGAGATTCTTTGATCTTCGATTGTGTTTCCACATAGGGAAAATTTTCCAAAACCTTATTTTTATTATTTTATAAGTAAATAAAAAAAGAGAATGGCTGGTTTTTGGCAAATAGGAAGAAATATAAAGAAATTGAAACGAAAGAGAAGAGAAAAACACTGGAAGAACGAAACTAACTAGCAAATGAAAAATACACTGAGAAATTGGAGGCTCAACATGTTCATTTCCCCTTTTTTCCTATCATGATGCTATGTCTAATCTTGGAGGCTCAAGAATATGAAAAATACACTGAGAACTTGGATTACAGAAAAGCAGGGAAACTAACTAGCAATCAAAGAATCATCAAGAGCCAAGAGGTTGGTATTTACCTCTTCTTTGAACCAGGCTCCTTCAGGCCATCTGATTCCAACAATGATCCTTCAATTTCCGCACTAGTAAAAGATGTAGCAAAAAGTTTAATGAGTAAACACAAAAATGATATCCCCCTACCAACCACCACCATGAAAAAGCAAAATTTAATGAAATGGTAAAATTAAAAAGACAGAGAGGATGAGAATAGATGACAGGAAAAATTGCAGATGAGAGAGAAAGAGAGAGAAAAATAGTTCTTTTTTTTAAAAAAAAAATATTAAATGCAATGACATATTTCAAAAATAAATACTGTCCAAAGACAGTAACCAAAGGATTAAGTCACTGTTCCATATCAAAGACTGGAGGCACAAACACAGGAAAAACTGTATGAGTACATTGGCACTGTTTCTGTTAACATAGTAGAAATGTTAATGTTGAAATAAATTAAAAACAACAACAATTCAAACAAGCAAAAAGTTAAGTTAAAAACAGGCCTCAACATCTTCCATTAATTCATAGATGCTAGTCAAGCAATTTGAGAAATAAACCTGAGGAAATGAAGTCTTGAAAGACATGTAAATTACAAGTTCATGCTTGGGCTGGTTAAATAAGACGGACGCTTTACTTTGATCAAATTATCTTTTGTCGAATCCAAAGTGAAAGAAATTAATAAAGAACTGAATGTCTAACATGAAAAGAGTACAGACTAAGAGAAAACTACATTTCAAAAGATTAAAATGAAGATCACACACAGTTTCTTTTAACTGAACTAATTATATTTTAAGGCGATTATTTAATATGATCATATTTTCAGGTTATTATTTGTTATTTAAGCTTCAGTAAATGATTAATTTAAGGGTGCCGACTACTCCCCTAGTTAAAGGGGGAGAATGGATTGGAACAACACTTGAAGGGGGAAATTTTTTATTGGATGAAATGAATAAGTTTATACTGCAGATTTTAAACCTACCCATTTAAATTTACAACCTACAAGCTTCGACTAAAAAGCCAAGAACATGAAGAAACTAGATAGAAATCTCAGATATTCTCAAACATGTGATCCTGTTTCTCCTTACATGGTAAATTAGTTACTAAATTTAGATAGTAAAGGAAAGTTGGAGATGTAGACACAAATCTTCTGATTATCAAATTCGAAGAAGCAAGATCAAGTTTCAAGTCCCAATCAAGTTCTTTTATAAAGAAAAAGTTGCAGCACTACTTTCGAGCTAAAGATGAAATCAAACGACCATCTCAAATCCCAGCACAGTCGAATCCTAGATCACAACTAGAAGTCCGTACATGCAGACTCGAAGGAACTTTCACATACATAACAATATATGATTGTCAAACGGATAGAACAGGAAAATCGAAGAAAATGAGAGAGAAATAAAACCTGACATCAGAGGAGGCGTTGAAGGGTTGCATGGACCAAGAGAAACCGGCAGTAGGTGCAGAGAAATTGACATCATCAGGAACAGGAATATCATCGATTAACGCATAATCAAAGAGCCAATTGGTGGTTTCAGGGGATACCATATCGCGTTGATGGTGATTGAGCAGGAAGGGCGATGTTTCCAGCGTGAATTTTCGTCGAATTGAAAGCAGTAAAGTGAAAGAGAGAAGAGAGAGGCCAGCGTTAAGAGAAGTGTGTCGCAGTTGGAGCCAAAAATGTATGAACAAAAAATGGAGAATCTGAAATGGGATTTGAGGAATATGAGAAAGAAGTGGTGGCGGGTAGTCGTCGGAACGAGAGATTCGTCGCCTCCGTCACTATGTTGATGATATTTCCTTATGGGCTTTTCAGGTTTTAATGGGCCTTCATGTCTCTCCAAAATCATTTTCCTTATATATTTATATATGTAATATTATTTTCAATTTTTAAGACTTTCTTGCGTTTGTAAAATATCAAGAAATTGATTTTTCTCTCTCTAATAATAATAATAATAATAATAATAATAATAATATATATATATTATTATATATATCTTGACGTATAAATTGATTTTTTTTCGAGGAAGATTTGAGCTTCGTAGTCGCTTCCATCCGAATAATGGGAGCAAATTAAGCAAATATGTAATTTAAAAGAGAATTAATGGGAGGAGAAGACAGCCCATGCAAGCTAAGCACTTCCGAAAAGACAAATAAATTAGCTTAGCTTGCATAAAAGGGTATGAGAATGATTCCCATTAAGTTGGATGGTGATTGGGTAAAGTTTATGGAAATGATAGTGGCGTTGGAATTTTCCTATTTTATTTTAATATTATTATTGTCCACACTTCCATGCCCTCTTTATTGGCTTGTTACAACCTTTCACTTTCATTGGTTCCAAATAAACATTATGGGGATGTAGCGGGGATTTTTGCTTGTCTTCCCACATGGACTCCCTTATTTATGGGCTTGGCCCATTATCAGCAGAGCCCCACTCTGAGCAAAGTTACATGAAAACGAATTTACAAAATAATGGGGGTTTAAAAATGGAGATTGATTTTTTTATGTCATTAATATTACATGAATGCATTTGGGATCAATTGTATTGGATAACATAATTCAGCATTAAAATCTATTCTCTTATCCTTAGGGTTTTAGTTCATTTAATTATTATCATTCTTGTCTGAAGAGCACTCATTATTTTAGTAAGCAGCAGAGCAGAGGAGTAGTAGTGATGGCAGAGAATTCATTAGTCTTTATTTATTAAAACATAGGACAAAAGGCACACGACCATGTGCTGTTCTGTTCTGTTGTGTTGTAGTTGGCGCTCAGAAGTCGCATCGCTGTGGGCGGATACCGCACATGGAAGGCAAGTTCCTAGCCTTCTGTAGCATCTGCCTTCCTTCTTGGCCACGTGCCTGCCTCTGCTCCTCCCTAGCAATCTCCTCCAACATATCGCACCGGCACTCCTCATCCACATTCCTCAGCTCTCTGCAGCACTCATCGAAGGACCTCCCTTCCCTCCTCCATGGGTTCTCGATTCCCCTCATCTGCAGCACCTCTCTACTCTGTTGCCTCAGGTACTGCTCGCAGCTACGGAGCTCCTCGCGGGCGCTCATCTGGCGGCACCTCTCCTCTCCCCCTCGCCTGTTTTCCTCCACTTCCACGGTGGTGATGGTGGTGCGGTAGGCGTACGCATCTGCAACCAGCAGCGCTACTGCGAAGAGGGCAATGATGCTTGTGAGCCTGGCCATTGTGGAAGAAGATGTTTTTTATTTTTTATTTTTTTATGGATGAGAGTTGTTTAATTTGTAATTGGTATTTATAGGGAGTGGGGAGTGGGTGCATGCAGGGAACGTGGAAGGAGTGGTTTTGTATTGTTGTGGGTTTGTGAAGCTTGTGAAGGTGTAAGCTATGGTGGAGTTGTGTGTTGTGTTTCTGCTTCCACGTGACGGTAGCCATGCAAATGCCGATGCCGTATGTGTCATGATGCTGGCATTGGGAGTGGGATTTTGTGTACAAATGGCAGTTTTTATTTTCCTTGGGGGTGGTGGCGTATGTTGTCGTTTTGCTATGCCAACACCGCTAATATGTCACTTATTACATTACACTTAAAACACGAAAGGTTTTATATTTATAATCATTTACCGAATCAAAAAGTTCTATAGCATATGGATTAGAGTATTGAAAGGAAGAAGATGATAAGAAGAAGATGATAAGAGGATTTGGGAGTCATAGAGAATAAAGGATAGGGTTGTTAAACCGAAAAGACTTTGATACCATGTGAATGTTTGCTGAATCCACCGCACCTAAATGGTGGTGGGAATTCTCTTATTTATAATCCTTTACCGAATTCAATACCGAATTTGAAAATAAAGAATAAAGAAAGAATAATAAAAAGGGCAAATATGGTAAACAATAATGAAAGAAAGACAGACAGGTAAATATCTAAATATTTAACTGATAATAGACGGTCAACTATCCTTAACAGACGGTCAACTATCCTTAACAGGCGTCTAAGTCGAGCCCATATAAGTCAGGCGTCTAAGTCGAGCCCATATAGCCTCAAACCTCAAACGATGTGATCTGAATATCTAATTCTCAATCTACTCATCTCATCCATCTATGGATGAAAAGTATATGACGTGGATTGAGGTTGGATTTTGTGTTTCTTATATAGGATACCAAAGCCAACCAAACGTACTTAGAAAAGTTTGTACAAAAAATTAGGAAGAGAATAGGCATCATCCCAAAATTTTAAAGAAGTAATTATTCTTTTATATATTCAAAAACTATTTTTAAATTAAATTCTTTAACACCATTATGTGATTTTTATATTTATTAAAACTCTATTTAAAAAAATTATGGAGAAGCAATAAAAAAGGCTTCTTTATTTCATTCATTTTCAGAATAACATGGGTTTGATATCAATAATATTATGTGTATTAAAATTAAATTATTTCAAATCAAATAAAAAAAAACCCAAAATAATAATAATAATAATAAGAGAACTTAAGATTTATGAGGATTAACTAACGACGACATTTTATTCCACAAAAAGAAATAAAAAGAAAAACAACCAAAAAGAAAAAAAAACGGCAAGGGATGTGGCTTTAAACAGTAGGACACATCTCCCACTAAGACGAGGAGGTGTCACATTTTATTGATTATTACTCCATTTTTCAGTTTTTGACCTCAATGGGCTCTCATTTTGTTTCTCATTCTACCATTCTACCACCGGGAGGAGCGGAGTTCGCAGCGGCGTTGGCTGAGCCTACACACGGACGGCAAGTTCGTAGCTCTCTCCAGCATTTGCCCGACATCGATCCCTTGCATTCTCCCTTGCTGTCTACGTCGCTGCACGATCTGCCGCAACCCCTCGCACCGGCACGCGTCGTCCATTCCCCGTAGCTGCTGGCAGCACTGCTCCAGGTGCTCCACCGCATCTTCTTCTTCTTCAGCCATTAAAAGCTGGCGGACGCGGCGCGGCCTCATCAGCAGCTGCTCGCAGTGGCGGAGCCGCTCGCCCCTAACCTGTATCATTTCAACAAATTTGTAAATATAATTATGGTCTCACATCTGCTAATTTAGAGAATGATCATGGATTTATATCATCCATAAATATTATCTCCATTACTAAGTCGATCATAAATTTATATATATAATGAATAAATATTATCTGAGTCTGAGGTCTTCTCCATTAGTAATGGAGGTCTTTGACTATAGAATAGAAGATTTAAAAAATGATCATATATTTATATAATGAATAAATATTATCGCTTATGTTCAAAGTATACTGATATTAAAATATAGTGTTTGAACCTGTTGGCGGCACCTCTGCAACCAGGGTCTTTGGTTGTCATCGTGGAAGCGGAGGGCGGAGGCGGCGAGGAGGAAGAGGGAGAGGAGGAGGAGGAGGGAAAATGGGTGTCTGGCCATTGTTAACGTTGAGTATGAAGATTATGGTGGGGGGCTAGAAGGGTGGGTATTTGAAGGGGTAAGGAAGGAATGCATGCACGAGACGTGGAAACTTCAAGTTTGCATTGGGTGGCCTTTAATGGCGACGCCGCTTTCCACGTTAACCTCCCCCCATGCCATTTGTTTCTCTTCTTCTTCTTCCTCCTCCTTTCCGATGGAAGTAACACGTGGGACACAGTTTTATCATTTTATTTTATTAAATATAAAAATATGACATTTTACATAAATAACATCAAAATAAATCTGTTTTTAAATTTTAATACATTAATTTTTGTACGTCATTACACATTTATGCTAAATAAAAAAGAAACTAATTGTTTATTAAACAATTATAAAATGTAACATTGTATAAATTAAAACAAACTTATGACACAAATAGTATTACAAATAAGTAGTTGTATTGTTTATTATTTTAAACGACCATTCTCCTTCATAGAATCTATGAATTGACTATTGGACGCACATTAATTGACTACACGAAAAAAATCAATCTTATTGTAATTGAATTATGAGAGGGACCTAATGTTTAGCTGTTATTACAAATAAATGATATTCGAAAATTTAAAATTTAGAGGTATTTTATTAAAAAATAAAGCATATACTTCAAAGATATTTTTATATTTAAAAAAAAAAATATATATATATATATATATATATATATATTTTGTTTTATAAGGTAATGTATATAAAATATCTCGAGGAAAGAGAGAAGCAAATGAGAAAGAAACAAGAGATAATGGGAAAAGAAAATGAAGCATCATGGTGATGGCTGATGCGATTTGGAGAACCCCATCTCCCCATTGTGAGCCCTTCATTTTCTATCCTCTCCCCCACATTTCCCCATCCCTTAGATATTTTTCTCACTCAAATAATTTGGGGTAAAATTGAAGGTGTCATTTCTGTCTATAAAGCCCATCTTCCCCCCCAACGCCTTTCCCCATCCCATCTCCTCTGTTTTCCTCTGCTTCTACAAAAATGGCTTCCGTGGCTTCCACTCTCACCACCAAGCTCCAGACCCCCTCCTCCTCCTTACTCGACTCCTCTTTCCATGGCACCCCTCTGGCCCCTCCTCCTCCTTCTCTCCGCCTCAAATCCACCCCCGCCGCTTTCTCCATCTCCGCCTCTCAGCAGCAGCCCTACGATTTGAACTCCTTCAAATTCAACCCCATCAAGGAGTCCATCGTCTCACGTGAGATGACCCGCCGTTACATGACCGACATGATCACTTACGCCGACACTGATGTCGTCATCGTCGGCGCTGGCTCTGCCGGCCTCTCTTGCGCTTATGAACTTAGCAAAAACCCTGATATTCGCATCGCCATAATTGAGCAGTCCGTCTCCCCCGGCGGCGGTGCATGGCTCGGTGGCCAGCTCTTCTCTGCTATGGTATGCTTTTAATTCCCGTATATGCCATTTATTTGCCTCACCCTTACCCATAACGCCTCCTTTTCTTTCCTGTCTTCTAGCTTTGAATGCTCTGTTTTTTGTAAGAAAATACCCACAATTTGATCATACTAATTCAGTCATAAATTGGCTTAAGCCCAAGAATTTAAATCCTCAATCAGTACGATATCTGATTCTAAAATCTTTAATTTGATGGATTTGGGCAAATTTAATGTTTGGTTCATGTTCTTTGATAGGTGGTAAGGAAGCCAGCCCACTGCTTCTTGGACGAGGTTGGTGTGGAGTACGACGAGCAAGAGGACTACGTTGTAATTAAGCACGCGGCTCTGTTCACCTCAACGATCATGAGCAAGCTGCTGGCACGGCCCAATGTCAAGCTGTTCAACGCCGTGGCGGCAGAGGATTTGATCGTCAAGGGCGGCAGAGTTGGCGGTGTCGTCACCAACTGGGCTTTAGTGTCAATGAACCATGACACACAGTCCTGCATGGACCCTAATGTCATGGAGGCGAAGGTAGTGGTCAGCTCTTGTGGCCACGACGGGCCCTTCGGAGCCACCGGAGTGAAGCGGCTTAAGAGCATTGGCATGATCGATTCCGTCCCGGGAATGAAGGCCCTGGACATGAACACGGCGGAGGATGCCATTGTTAGGCTCACCCGAGAGGTAGTGCCTGGCATGATCGTCACGGGTATGGAGGTGGCGGAGATCGACGGAGCTCCAAGAATGGTAAAGAACTAAGTTTGAATTAATGGTTTGACTAAAAGGCTTAGACCTTGTTTAACAATCAGAGGTGGTGTTGGATGCAGGGGCCAACGTTCGGGGCAATGATGATATCAGGGCAGAAGGCGGCGCACCTGGCGTTGAAGTCATTGGGGCTGGCAAATTGCATTGAGGATGAAGCAGCTGATCTGATACTGGCGGCGGGAGAGTCACCGGAGGTTGCAGATGGTTGAAGGGTGAGTTTTCATGGATGGAAGGCGGCGGTTGTGTTTTGTGATTCATGGGGGCTCTGTTTCCGTGGCAAACAGATTGGGGTTTGGGGAAAAGCCAATTTTAAGTTAAATTAAATAAAATTGTATCAAAATGTTAATTGCCTTTTTCTTGTTAAATTATTATAAAATTAGATTTAAATTAATAATTTTGTAGTTAATAAATTATTGAGTGTTTAAATTTAAAGAAATTATTAAACAGAAAATAAAAACAAATTTAATTTGAATTTAGTATTAATTAATATCCAAATAGAAGACTAATTAAGTAATTAGTTCCGGAAGTGGTTAAATAAAAGAAAATTGATGAGAGAAAAAAGGGAAGCGAGCAGAGCCCCTTCAGTCAGCGGGCGAAAATGGCGGGAAAACTAGAGGCGGAAAATTCCCTCCCCTCTGTCTCCTTCTTTTATATCAATCTTCTCATTTTCTCATCTCTGGTTTCCTCGAAGCCCCTCGCCTTTCCGCCCTCCACCGCCGCGTTCACGCGCGGCGCCGCTCCCCCGCCCCCACCCCTCTTCCTTCTTCACCCATTTCCATTTTTTTATGATCCAAGAGCCTGCTGGCATGCAATTCCCAATGCTCTGCCCCAGAGATTTTATCTCTGTTTCCCTTTTTATTTCTCTTCTTCTTGTTTCCAATTTATCTCCCTGTTCCGCACAAGACTACATCATAGGCGACCCCGGAGCAGCTGGCGGAGCAGGCGGCGGAGCAGTCGGCGGAGATGCTGGCGATGATACCAAGGAGAAGCCGGCGGCGGGACCGCCAGAGCACAACAACTGTAATGGCATATACTTGACCTACAATTTCATTTCGCGTGAGAAGGAGCTGCCCCGGTTAAAGAATGCGACGGCTCAGGCTTGGGCCTTCAAATCGGAGGCGACAATTCTGAACTCCGGATTGACTGAGCTCAAGGGCTGGAAGATGTTCATCGGATTTCACCACCACGAGATTCTCGTCTCCGTCGACGGCGCCGTCCTGTTGGATGGCTCCGATTTCCCTGCGGACGTTGGAAAAGGAGTCACTTTGGCTGGGTATCCGATGACCGATCTTAAAACGTCCATTGAAACCGCCGGTGATATTAATCAGATCCAAGTGACGGCTGCGATCACCGGATCACAATTTGGCATCAAGCCCCCTGGTGTTCCAATGCCTAAGACAATTCGCCTCGTTAACGATGGATATAAGTGCCCTGCCCCTCGTCTTCGTGGTACCCTTTTGCCCTTTCTTTATCCTTTCAATTCCCCATAACTAAAAAAAAATTAAATGTCAACAAATACTCCTAAATTTTTAATTTTGAATGAAACCCAATATTTAATAATCATGAATTTAATACATTTTGAAAAAACTAACAATTTTAGTGAGAATTGAAATAGAAAAACTTCGTCTAGGTTCATAATTTCTAACAATTTTGGTGGAATTTGATGTTGTTTATGGGTTGGTGTAGGGAAAAGAACAATGCATGTGTGCTGCAAAAAAGATCCAAAGTTCAAGGAGAAAAAAGCACCCAAGGCCAAGAAAATCAAATTTCTGGCTAGGCAAAATGGAGATCTCTCGCTAACGTACGATGTGATGCAATCTTTTGGAAACAACTACCTAGCTCAAGTCACAATCGACAACAACAACCCACTGGGGCGCTTGGATCACTGGAACTTAACCTGGGAATGGATGAAAGGAGAGTTCATTCAAAGCATGAGAGGAGCATACACTCATACAAGAGACATAGCTCAATGCGTCTACGGCCCCGCAGGCCAATACTATCAAGATTTCGACTTCACCGGCGTCATGAGTTGCGATAAGAACCCGGTGATGGCCGATCTACCAGCGCAACGGAAGGACGATCCCAAGATCGGAAAGTTGCCATATTGCTGCAGGAATGGAAGCTTGTTGCCTACCATGATGGATGAAAGCAAAGCAAGGTCTATTTTTCAGCTACAAGTCTTCAAGCTTCCACCAGACATGAACCGAACGGCTCTTACTCCACCACAGAAATGGAAAATCTCAGGTATCCTAAATCCGGAATACGAATGTGGTGCTCCGATCCGAGTCGTACCGACCGAGTTTCCAGACCCAAGCGGGCTTCAATCAACGAGCACGGCGATCGCTAGTTGGCAAGTTGTATGCAACATTACAAAGCCAAAAGTGAAGCAATCAAAATGTTGTGTTTCGTTCTCAGCATATTATAATGACTCAGTAATTCCTTGCAATACTTGTGCGTGTGGGTGTGAAGACACTGATACTTCTAGTTGCAATCCAAATGCACGCTCAATGCTGCTGCCTCCAGAAGCCCTTTTGGTGCCATTTGATAACAGGACAAAGAAGGCAAGGGCTTGGGCTAAAATTAAGCACTACCCAAATCCAAAGACGATGCCTTGTCCTGATAACTGTGGAGTTAGTCTGAATTGGCATATTAACTCCGACTATGCCGATGGATGGACTGCAAGACTCACACTTTTCAACTGGGAAGATTACCCATTTGAGGATTGGTTCACTGCCGTTCAATTGGGTAAGGCCGGCCGGGGTTACGAAAATGTTTACTCCTTCAATGGAACCAAGCTTCCCAACGTTAAAAATACCATCTTTCTCCAAGGCTTGCCTGGCTTGACTTACTTGATGGGAGAGGTGAATGGGACCAATCCCACATCGGATCCGAGAATTCCAGGAAAGCAGCAGTCCGTGATCTCTTTTAAGAAGAAGGGCCTGCGCGACTTGGACATACAACGAGGTGATGGCTTCCCTATTAAAGTGTTTTTCAACGGCGAGGAATGTGCGCTTCCAAGGGCGATTCCCTTGCCCAGTTCTGCCTGCCGCTGTCCCTATGGTGTCATGCGCCTCGTCTTCATCTTGGCTGTTACTTTGGCGCTTATAACAGATCGCTTCCATTGATTGGAATCATCATTGGCTTCCACAATCTGTTGATGATCTTGGAACACAGTTTTGAATACTTGGAATATATATTTTACTTCAAAATTATGAACTTGAGCTGATGGTCATGATTATGATGATGATGAAATGCAGCTATCTGTTTGTTTCTATCAAAAGGGCTCCTGAGTTTCAATGACATATTATCATAAAACTTTGTACTCCTCTTGTGTATTTGTTGGTTGTGTTATCATATGCACATGAAAATGGGAATTTTAGGATTATTTGTATGTTTTCCATATAATATTTTCGTTCTTTCTTTCTTGCCACTAATATGAACATAACTCAATTATCAACTAACTTCATGTATTAAAAGAAAACAACTCCATTACCCATCTGGGTAGTCAACTCAACTATCAACTAACTTCACTTCATGTATTTAAAGAAAACAACTCCATTGTATTTAAAGAAAACAACTCCATTACCCATCTGGGTCTAAGTCAGTCATTATGCGAATTGTGATTATTAGAGGGGAATTGTGATTATTAGAGGGTTTCTCTTTCATCTCTTCCCCCGCTAATATGAACAAAACTCTCTCTCTCTCTCCTCCCTGCAATTATAACCCTAATCATAACCCTAGTCTCTTTACCTCTTGTCCCCTCCTTGTTGCCTTTAACTCGTACTAAAAAAGTTAGTTCACTCCGAAACTTAGATACATCTCGTAATATTTGGCAACCATATCAATGGTCCCTCTTAATCGCATATGAGTATTCAATCTTTTGACTTATGGTTGCACATACCCCACATAAACATACCACAACACTGTTGAATCTTGAGAAAGCTACAAATAAAGAATTATTAAACTTATTCCAATTTATATATATAAATAAAGAATGTTATGGAAGAATTTATGTAAAAGGGAACCGACCAGGTGGGAATATAGCAGATTTGAGAGATGTGTGCGCGCACGAGTGAAAGACAAGAGGGTTGGGCAGCTCAAACGCCTTCGTGTGCCCAACTTCCACGCCTAATGTTCATGTTACCCAACCCTTCAAAACTGAATATGCAGGCATTGTCGTAATATTATAAACTTTTTCAAACCCCCATCTCCCATTAAAAGGTATCTTATTTTTAGATTTTGTAACATTAATTTAAAATTCTGACCTTTCAAACTTGTCAAATTAAGTATAATTTAATTGAAATTTTCAAACCCTCGAACCATTTAAAAAAATAAATAAAAGAATTAAAAGAAATGAATCGTGTTAGGTTGTCGCCACTAACTAATTGCCTTGTGTTCAATATTCCCTCAACTCTCTCTTCTTCAAAATGAAACCCATTACTCTTCTTTAAATATTATATATTTTTTTCTTTCTATTTTATATGAAATCTCCATAGCAGACAAAACCCACTTCCATCAATTTAGGGTTTTTATGCATTTTTATTTTAGAAACCGTCCAAAAAAATAAGAACAATGGTGGTCGCACAACTTAAAGTTTATGGAAATCGGGTAATCATCTAGTGGATCCATATACATATGAATAAATCGTGTGTACAAAAGTATATGCTTCCAACCCACTTATCTATAATTACATTTTACAATGCACGTAATAAGATTTTGTAATTTTCCAAATAATACGTATTTAATTGAATTAGTTTATATATGTCGATTTCGTATTTTCCCCGACATTGTTTAACGGTTTATAGTGTCTGTTATAATTATCTAAAAATGTACCATTGATTTAGTGACAGAAAATCCAAGAAAATCGTATTTGGATTATGAGTTTCTACAAAATTTGAACAAAAATAAAGGAAGAAAAGAAAAAAAAAAAAAAAAAACAGAGAGAAAAGACCATCCTTATAATAAGGTGCCAATTGGACCAAAACTTAAAAAACAAAAACATTTAATTTAAAAGTCAATGCAACCATGAATTGAGGACAACAACGTATTGGGCACAACTTCCAAACACGGATGTGCTAACTGCTAAGAATGATCCATAATTAAGAATTTAAGTGAACATCAAAATTATATTTAAAATGGATAATATCATATTATTATGGATATCCGTAAAACAAAGTAGAGATAGTTTAACTTTGTTACATTAAGCGAATTAAGAGTCGATGATTCATATCCTATTCTACCGTTGTTAAAAATTAAAAAAAAAAAAAATTTGTAAACGACAGAAAGAGGCGGCTAGTCAAGCAACCGGCCACTCCTTTTCTTGTCTGTCCATTGGTATGGCATATATGTGGAAATAAAATAAACTCCCCCAAACGGCCAACTTCCCCACCACAACCATACCCTTATATGTTTTTTTAAAAAAATTCAAACAATTAGAATCTCCGATCCATATATATATATATATATATATACCGATCCAACGCCCCACCAGCCTCGAACCCACATAGACCTCTGTTTCCTTTTGATTTTGTTGGTCCAATTCAATGGAAAACTCGGCCATCTCCAGAATCTGCACCCAGAAGCAGGTGGATCAGGATCACAGTAGCTGGACTTCCTCCATGGACGACCTCCTCTTATTCGACCACTCTAAAACAATTTCATATCACTTTCAAAACGCCGCCGTCTTTTCTTCCTCCGATGACGACGATCTCCAAGACACTGCAACTTCTCCGCCTCATCCTTCCATAATTTCCGACGTACATTACATTCTCAGCTATATAAATTATCATCCAAAACTTCTGTTTACATCTTTTAAAAACTGGGTTTTTTGTTTTGAATCAGATGGATGGGCTTAGCTCCAAGCAAAAGAAGCAGCTGCAGCAGCAGCAGCTCAGTGCCATGATCAATCAAACAAAACACAAAGTTTGTAATTTTTTTAGTGTTTTTACATTAAAAATCCATTCTTTGATGCAATTTTAACTGTGATTTTGGGGTTTTGGTTTTGTAGGGAAAAGAAATTGAGGAATTTGGGGAAGTTGAAGATAGAATTGAAGTGGGTTTTGTGGGGAGGGATAATAATTGTAGCACAGGGCTCAAGAACATTGGCCTTTGCTTGGTTCCTGTATCCATGGCTATCAATTATTTTGGTTAGCCCATTCCTTCTTCACTTACATGTATATCCCGAGCCCAAATCATTTTTGTTACTTAGTAGTAACGATGAACCTCTACAATAGTATGATATTATCATTTCGAGTATAAGCTCTCGTGACTTTGCTTTTAGCTTTTTCAAAGATCTAATACTAATAGTGATGATATCCTTTACTTAGCCGACGTAAGACTCTAAGACTCAGAAAATGTGTGAATTAAGGCACGTAAAAAAATGAACATTTAACTTAGAAAATCCATTTATTTGGGTAATTACACACAAACAAGACACCAATTATTCACTCTCAAAAGAATCAAACAATCCACCACACAACATGACCACAAACCATGTTAAAATGAAAAAATAATGCAAACCCATTATACAAACCCTAAATTATTATGTAATTACAAAAGAATCATGGAAGTTGCAACCATTCCAATTAAGCCCAAAAAGAAGCTGATGATTGATGTAGAAGATGATGCTGCATTGGAAGGAGGCCCCTCGGCGGTTGGCGACGGGGTTGGGTTCATCTGGGCTGGAGCTTCGGGCGGAGGAGATTGTGGTTCCTCGACCGGAGCTGGTGGCGGAGAAGAGTATTGCTTGGTTCTATCAGCCAATACAACCACCACCAGTTTCTCATTCTTGAGGCAATTGTCTTTGATACCACTTATGAAGTAGTGAGGGCCAGATTTTTCAAACTTGATGATGGTGTGGCCATCTGAAAAGTGCTTTATGGGCGATTCTGTATGACAGTTATTGTAGTCATCTTGGTTCACTAACAGCACCGAGTCTTGCCCACTTTGGTAGTTGAACACTGCACCATTAATAACATATAAATTAGGAGAGAATCACACGTTCGCTAATTTAAGAAATTCAGAGCAAAACCATGAAAGCTTATGTTCAACCATTGTTTAATTTACATTACCTATGGAATCACCAATTTGGAATCTACGAGATTCAGCCCATTGGTTCAAACTCTGAGCATTGGGGTCAGAAGGAACGCCCCAAATGCCCTTTGATCCTCCCACTTGATACTCAACGCCGCAAACATTTTGCACTAACAGCAGCATTACCCCAAAAATGGTCACTGCAAAACTGCTCTTCTTAGCCATCGTGCAGCAACAAGTAGAAGAAGAAGGAATAGTGGGCTCTCGACTTATTGTTTTGCAAAGGTAAGGGAAGGCGGAGAGCAGGTTTTGTAGGCAAAGTTTTGCTTTTTCATATGGGGTTGGCTTCCTCTACAAATAAAGCATATATTTTTTGCGTTATGATGGGGTTGGGGAATACGTCAAAAACTTGGATAGTGGGAGTGCTTTCCCTTTAATTTATTTCCAAGAATATTCATGTCTTCTTGCTTGGGTTTAAGGCTGTCACCCTTGATTCCTAGCTTTCTAAATCACTCCCTTGGGTTTCATTTGGTACTAATTACTAATGATTGTAAGGATGACTGTGAGGAAGGGTGGGATCAAGAATCTCACATTTTTAACACTTGACTCGAAGATTCCATCCATTCAACTCAATTGTTAGAATTTTCGTTCAATAATGAACTTATTTGAATTGAATTGGATTTAAATAATTAAATTTTTTATGAATTTGATTGGTTCATGATTTTCTCTTAACATTAAATTAGTTAAGAAGAAACTGTTAGATTAAAAAATTGTTTATTATAAAATGTTGATTAATGTGACTTTAGAATTGCTTTGTTGTGAAGAAAGATGGGAAGTTAACATCTCCCTCCTTGAAATCATGAAAGGAAAGATTGACACAAATATAGAAAATGTTGGTTTAAGAAATTAATTAACTTTATCCCAACAAGTTCAAGAAGGAATTTGTTTGGAGGAAGAATCTTGCTTTTACAATGGTTCATGCATACTTAGAAATTGATAAGATTAAGAGTCTATAAATAAGCTATTTAACGAGTATTTTATACTCATTTTTGTTACTTTTGAGTGACTGGTCAAGGACGAATGCGGACTGGAACCGTGCGACTACAGAGGAGTGTAGATTCGAGCTGAACACTTCAAATTAAATATAATACATATACTTCACATTAAAGTTTTTTACACGTGGGCCTACGTAATGGGCCTGTCGGACAAACATGAATTATCCAAATGGAGTATTATTTAGTTATGGACCAACTGGGGTTTACACGTGGGCCTGGGTAATGGCCCGAAAGTAGGAGTCAAAGTCAACAACTGAGGTGGAGGTCAGCAAACAACGACAGTGTGGAATGAATGTCGTGAGCTGCACGCTCTTGGTCGCACAGACAGATTAAGGAAGAAACGAGAGATTCAAGGAAGTTGAATGAACGTATAAAACGGGGATTGTTGTTGATGGGGATTTGTGGTGAGGAGGTAAAAACAGGCAACTTTGACATGGTAAGACAGAGCACAAATACATGAACTTCGAGACCTTTTTCTTATCCAATCAAATTAAGTAAAAATTTTCCACCCCCTCTCCCCTCCCCTTTTAGCTGTTGCCTTGTTGTTTGTGTGTATATTTATTTTGCGTCTGAAGCTGGTTATTCGGAGCTGGATCTCGTTCCCAGCCTTACACCCCCCCGGATCCTGCCCCTTCAACTCTTTTTCTCTGGGCTTTGAATCTTCTCTTCTGGGGTTTGATCATCTCAGGGGGGTGAGCGGATTTCTTGATTTGGGGCTGATTTGGTTTGATTCTGTCTTTTGACCATCTCTCGGAAGTGATTGCGGCGAGTTGTGGGAATGTGGAGAGACGCTGGAGCTCCTGCTGATTCTTTCTATGAGGTTCGCCCTGAGTGCACCGATGTTCCCAAAACCCGCTTCAAGATCAGGGTCTGTTTCCTTCTCTTCTTGTTTACATTGAATCACTCTGTACCTCGTTTGGTAATGCCCCACTTCTAGGATTCTAGCTTTTTATTCATTTTAGCTTCTGCCCCACTTCTAGGATTGTATAAAGTTTTGACATGCCAGAATTGGTTCTTTCAAGGTGGTATGGTCAACCTGGTGTGACCTTTTTGGTTCTTACTTTTGCATCATAGTATTATTAACCTTTTTTATGGCTGATCTTTTGGACGAGGTTGGCCATTTGACTACTGGTTTGTGTATATCAGGCTACAAAAATTAACAATGCTTCTTTGAGGTTCATTGATTGTCCTGCTAAACTAGTTACTTCACTTTGTTTTATATGCGATTGTCATGTCACTTTTAGGTATTGTATTGATCTAAGATTGCTCATGTGAAAGAAACCCATTTCATTGCTTTAAGAGTTGATAATCCAACATTCGTGCAGGCTGGGAAAACTTTAAGTGTTAGAAAATGGCAAGCAGCATTTAATCCAGAAGGGCAACTGGACATAGCAAAGACTCTAAATCGCATTCATCGTGGGGTAAGTTCATGATGTTCTTGTCTTTGGACAACCACACTCTTTGGCAGTTGCTCAGCTTTATCTACTAATTCAAAACTTATTTTCTTTTGATCGATCTGATCGTTCGATGGAGATTGCAGTGATCTTTGGATGATAAGGTTCTTGTTTTTCAAACTTTCTATGTAATACAGGGGATCCATCCTTCAATTAGAGGAGAAGTGTGGGAGTTTCTTCTTGGTTGTTATGATCCTATGAGCACCATTGAGGAGAGAGAAGAAATTCGCCAGCGTCGAAGGTAGTTCATCTAATCGATGCACGTTGAGAGAATCCACCCTTTGATAATCTACATTATTTGCTTCAAAGTTAATGCATCATATAATGTTTCTGCAGATTCTGAACTCGTTTTAGTTTGATTTCTCCTCAATTATTGGTTGCGAAACTTCGCTTCAAATGGTTCTTTGTAGTTTCCCAGAAATGGCACTCCCAAAACTGACCTTGATTGTAAGAACTTGGTAGATACCTTCTAAGGTTTGAGCTCAACCCCCATGTGGAAAACTTGATAGTTTAAAACCCTCACTGTCTCCTATAGTCGGCCTTAGGGTGAGGAAGGCATAGTCTAGGATGCGTGATGATGGACCATGAGCATAATGCGACGAGTTGGCCTCTCCATGAAATGATTTAGTTGTAAATGAGAAGCTTTTGGCCGTTGTTTTCATGTCACTTCATTTCAATATAATGCATTTACCCAAGTTTTTGTAGTAATTGTTCACCTCTTCTCTAAATCGAATGAACGCTTAGATTGTGAGCTTTTGAATTTGCAGGATACAGTATGCGACATGGAAGGAAGACTGTCGACAAATGTTCCCTGTCATTGGAAGTGGTAGATACATCACAGCACCTGTAATCACAGAGGATGGTCAGCCTATTCAAGATCCGCTTGTACTTTTGGAAGCAAATCCAGAAAGTGGTCCGCTTGTGCCTCAAGACACCGGCACTGCTGATGCCGAGTCTGATGGTTCACAGCCGAATTCTTGTAGTAACATGGAACCTGTGACAGATCAGAAAATAATTCAGTGGATGCTTACTTTACATCAGATAGGTTCGTAGAAGCTTTATCGCTCACACGCACACATGACATCATATATTTGTTTATATGACAGTTGTGACATGACTCGAGTACCTTTTATAATTTATTTTGAAGCTGACCATTTTAATGTTCATGTTAGGCCTTGACGTGGTTCGGACTGACAGAACGTTGGTATTCTACGAAAAACAAGAAAACTTATCAAAACTTTGGGATATTCTTGCTGTTTATGCGTGGATAGATAAAGACATCGGCTACTGTCAAGGTGCGTAATTTTGATGAATGAGATTAAGTTTCTCGAGTATCGACTGCAGTCACCTTCTGAGTTCTATAAGGCCGAAAAACATACTTTGATCCTGACTTATATGATATTTCTGAGTAGGAATGAGTGATCTTTGTTCCCCCATGATAATGCTTCTCGAGGATGAAGGCGATTCGTTTTGGTGCTTTGAACGTTTGATGCGCAGATTGGTACTAACCTTTCTTCTACTTGAGTAACTTTATTTTTCCGATGCTTCGTATTTGATATCTTTCACCTGTGCGTGTAAGTCGATTATATTAACTCTGTGCTCACGGTTTCGTAGTCGTTATTCTGAAAATATCGTTCTGTCTCCTCAACAACCAATCAAGCTCTTTGTTTTTCTCTTCCCTATCATTATATTTGCAATTTAGCGTTCTCGTGACGTATTCTATTTGAAACTTTGAAGCGAGGGAACTTCCGATGCACTGATAGCTCGGTCGGCGTGGAGACTCAACTCAATAACTTGGCTGCTATCACACAAGTCATTGATCCAAAACTTCATCAACACTTGGGTATTGCTCGTAGACTTGTATTTGCATGCATTTCTTCAGCTTTATGAGATATTACAATCGAAGAAGTATTGTCATTCGATGATCGTTGCGAATGGCGATCGATTTAAATGACCATAATTCAACTGAAAATTGTGTAACTTAGGGGTCGAGAAGAGACATTGCTACCTAACTTTGAAAAGTAACAATGAAGGTGCTGTTTTTATGAACACAGAGACACTTGGGGGTGGTGATTATCTTTTCGCTTTCAGGATGCTTATGGTTTTATTCCGACGGGAGTTTTCCTTTTGCGATTCGTTATATCTCTGGGAGGTACGTTTCGTTCTCTAAAGAAGGGATGAATCAAGCAACATCCCAGGCTTGTTCTTATGTTTATAAAAGTTTTTATGCATGGCTGAAGAGGACATCATGAACTGTATAAAATTCTTACACATCTGCTGTTGCAACAGATGATGTGGGCTCTGGAATACGATCCCGATCTATTTGCGTTGTATGAAGAACCTGAAATATGCAATGAGAAAGGCGAGGGATCGAAAGGAAAAGAAAAATCGATGCGCCAATGTGGGAAATACGAACGGGAGAATTTGAAAGCAAAGAACGCACAAGCTCCTCTTCCGATCTCGGTTTTCCTTGTTGCTAGTGTCTTGAAAGATAAGAGCACAAAGCTACTTACAGAAGCTCGGGGTCTGGACGACGTTGTGAAGGTTCGTTTCTCAATCTAATGATTCGATCTCTTGGTAACCTTCAACACATTAAGGTTACAAAGATAATACATTAAATTGAACTCGAGCATGAAAACTGATAGAATACTAGCCAACTCAAGAGAATGATCTGTTAGTCGGTTGTCTAAGCAAAATCACGGTTTCGACTAACCGTTTGCTCGCTTGTTTCGTGTTCTTTCTCTTCTTTGGTAGATATTAAATGACATGACTGGAAATCTTGATGCCAAAAAAGCTTGCACTGGGGCAATGAAACTTCACAAGAAGTATCTAAAAAAGGTAATATGCATTTGTTTGTTGAAGTATTACTTTTGAATTCAGTCTATTACAAGTTCGTCTGCAAACGAGAGGAAAAGGGAGGTAGGTATCAACTCGACTCGACTCGACTAACTTTACGGTGACTTCGCTGCTGCAGGCCAAGAAGCCATAGCAATAGAGGAAGCTGAAACTATACTTTTTTTTCTGGTCATCGAGTCGATCGGGCAAGAGATACCAGTGGCCGGAGTTTGTGGAGGCGACACAATTTTTCTGATCAGCTATACATTCCCAGATATTGAATTTGTTGTATGTAAAAATAATTGTTCATTTGCACCCCTTTTTGGACACACATTAAAAGAACAGTGAAAGAATATGTTTTGTGATAATCATCCTGATTCTTTGTAACAACTACTTGATGCATACACCAGTAAATATCGTTGGTACATGGGAACATCATTCCAGGCCTTATACACCTATATACATTATTAGATTCCATTAACTTGAACTTAGGTTTGTTTAATTAATTAAATTTTCACTGCACTATAAACTCATGCATTATAAAACAAGTTGCAACCATAAATATCAACACCATATGCAAGTTGATCGATTGGGTCAAAAGTTTGTAAGTTTGTTTTACTCTCCGTATCACTCATCTTCTAATGAACAATTGTAATCTAATCATAAACTAACTCTCAGACCAAAGAGAGAGTAGGGTACCATAGTTGAATTCTCAAAATCAACACTCCGAGAATTATGCTCCTAGTTCTCTGCGGGGTCGTGAAAGGGGGCATTTATGTTCTCAAGAAGTTGGATGATTGAGGGAAAAAAAAAAAAAAAAAGAATTAAAGACAAAAAGAAAAACAAAAATGTAGGCGCGGTTTTTTCTTTTTTGTTTTGTATGAAACCCGCAAAGAAAAGGAAAACTATATTTTCTCTCAAAATTTGGAAACTTCCATATACACATCAATCTCAGTCCTCTCTCGCCTTCTCAATCTCTCTATTTATCTCATCAACATTTTTGCCCTACCTTAGTTTTCTTCCTCTCATCAACAATCCCTTTGCCATTTCTTCCCTCAATTTCCTTCGCGATACTTCAGTCCCAGGTATGCCCGATTTCCCTCCATATTTAGTGTTTTCTGTCCTACTCGATTTCGCTAGGTTTTTTTTTTGGATTTGCGAAGAATGTGCGTAACTTTAGGGTGATTTTGATGCTTCCTGTGGGCTTATGTGTGTGTATATATACACACATATATATATATATTCTATTTTCTACATTTGTTTCCTGTTTTTGTGGGATTTCCCCCCGAAGATGGCTTGAAAGATGATGTAACTAGCTTTAAGTTCGGGATTTTATTTTTTTTTTCTTTTCATTTCCACTAGAATGAAAAGGATTGTTTTTATTTTATTATTCTTCTTTTACCAATTCTGCTGGATTTTGATTCTGTTGCATGCAATATAGAATTTTCCAATGAGTATTTTCTTTCCTTTTTTTTTTATTATTTATTTTTTAGTCTACCTGTTTTAAGATTTTGAGCTATGTTCGAGGGCGGTGTTTGCGAGTTTGTTACAAGTAGTTCTTGCGGGATTTTGCACGGCGAACATGAGTTTCACAAATATTGGTTGCAATCCTATTTTTTCCATTAACTTATGATGTTCAAGTTTAACCAGTTTGTTTGTGACTTCTGTAGGAATCATTATTTTTTGTTTTTTATTTTTTGCGACGGCTAAATAATTGAGGAAACGCTTGGCCCAACCTTGCAGACGTATTTTTGAAAAAAACCTGTTTCGGAAATTGCTTGACACAAACCATTTTTTTTTTCCTGTTCGGTCATTTCAATAGATAGTTTATACTTAAGGAAATGAATGAGTGGACTCATTAGTGAAAAGAAAAGTAGAATTACATAACTAAAAATTGAAATGAAGAGTGAGAGGGAAGGGAGCACAAGGGACATGGGGAGGGAGAAAAATTTTAACTTAATGAAAAAGAACTTACATGATGCATTATGTATCTAATATAAAGGTTTGATGTTCCCCCACATTGTTGAACTTGAAAAAAAAAAAAAGCTTAATGACACTTAAGGAAAGAATTAAAGGATACTAATAAATAAATAATAACTATAGCTAGAATATTAAAAAATGTAAAAACATTAAGAAATCAGAGGATTTCTAAGAATTTATTTAGAGAAGCAAAGGGTTTTGGAAGGATGTTTTTAGTATCTTTACAAAAACAAATTTAAAAATAAGAGGGAAAACATCCTAAGGCACTAAGTGCATGCCTTAGTAAGGGTGTCTCACTAAAGTGAGGCGTTCTATGTGAGATTTCTTTAGAAAACACCGAAAATGTATACTTAATATTGAAGGAAATAAATAAATGAACAGTATTGATGAGAAAATAAAAAGTATACCTACAACAAACTGAAGTTCTTCCCTGGTTTTATTTTTTGGAACTACTTGCAAAGATATAATCTAGCTGAAACAAAATCCAAAGCAGAAGATAATGTAGCGAAAACAGAACAACCCCAATGTTGGTACGAATGTAAAAATTCCAAAATTTATAATCACTCTTCAAGGCGTAATTGATTGGGAGCAGAGAAAATGTTTGAATGTTTCATTGTGGAATTACTTGGCCAAATTACAAGGGAGAAATTTTCTTGCAAACTATCTTTAGTTTCTATACCACCAAGAAATTTATTTAATATATCTTAAATGTGGGGAGTGGATCAAAAGTCTCTTGCCCATAAAGGGTAGATTTCACAAAAACCTTGAAGATAGGGTTGAACCATGTTCAATATTAGAGAACGAAAGAAGTTATAAGGAAATCTTACTTGAAAATCTTGAATGAAGATGGTAAATGCTAGAAAATGAATAAAACAAGTCATGTCATTTATTTGTTATGGTTGAATCTTGAACTTATTAAAATCCGGAGGGCTTCTTTTTAAATGATGGAGATCCAATTTAAAATGTAAGTAAACTTTGAATGCCAAAAGTTACATTTTTTTGCAACTTTTCTGATTTGGCTGCATATGGTAGTTTCAAATAATTATTATTTGATATTGAGTTTCTTACTTGAATTTGTGTGATATTTGGCTTAAACATGACATTTTACATATACTTCTGCGACCCTTCTTTATGGTGCGCTCGTAACAAAGATTTTTGTAGTTTTGGTTTTGTTCAATTGAAGTGGGGATGGCTCATCTACCCTTTGGTACATATTTTGATTTGAATATATAATAGTCTGGGTTTCCTATCAAAGAAAAAAGGATATTAAAGATTTGTCTTCTTTCTTAACCTTGAAATATACTGTTCCTTTTGCTGCAGGGGAAGGGAATTAATCAGTGCTATTGAACGAGCAATAATTTAATAGGATTAAAGAGGATGAGTCGGGCTGATCAAGGAATCAGCGCTGATAATTTAGCTGATGTTCATTTAAAGCCAAAACGTGGTCGTCCCAGAAAATATCTGAAGTTAAATTATGATGACACTACTCTTAATGCAAAGAAAAGAGGTAAGAAACATTTGGAGGCTATTCCTATTTCTCCCGGTTCTGGAGTAAATGGAGACCAATCAGATCCAGCAATTCAAATTCAAAATGTAGCTGATGTGGGACAAGTTGTGTCTGGTGTCATTGAGGCAGTATTTGATGCTGGATATCTGCTGTGTGTCAGGGTTGGCGGCTCTGGAGTAACTTTGAGGGGTGTTGTCTTTAAGCCTGGGCATTATGCCCCTGTTTTGGCAGTGAACGATGTGGCCCCAGATGTTCAAATGATCAGTAGAAATACGGTTCCTTTTGCTACAGAAAACAAAACTAATGGAAGTAACCCCCGATCTAAAAATGGAGAAGTTCCATCCCGTGAATCATCAGGTGCCAAACTGGGGTTTAAATGCACACCTCCACACTCTACCTGGGATGCTTCAAAAGACAAATCTATATTTGCCCAAATATCACCTTCGGGAAGCTCAAGAGGTTCTGTGGTCCCTGTTGTACTACAGCCTGCCAAATTAACTAATGGATCCTCCGTTGCCACTAAATCATTTACAATTCAAACTGCTGATATTGACTCCTCGAAAGGAAAAGAGGTTCTTGTAGGTACTTCTACAGCAAAAGAATCAGCTCCCGCCAATCCTTTCCAACCCCAAACTAGCCAGCAGGTCTTACAGGGTGATGATTCTGTTGAAAATAGTTCTGACGACCAATCCTTTGTAGTGGTAGCCCGTGATTCAGACGGTAAATCAATGACATTGCCTAGCACGCCTTTCGAGAGTCTTGTGACTGAAGTGATCAAGAGAATTCAAACCCCTTCTCTGTCGACTGAAATGCAGACGGAGAATGACAAGTCAACTGGTGGTAAGACATCAGCTAAAGAATGCAAAGGTAACTCGGAGGTTGTGGCCAACATAGTGGATGGACCTTTGATGATTGAACCTCTAAAAGCAGTGCAGCCCCATGATGACAGTTCAGAATCTAATCCCAAAGCTCTGGATGATGAGTCTAGAACTGGCAAAATGACTGAACTGTTACAGGTAGACAAGACTTACAACTAGAATATGTTTATATCAATCTTCAAGTATTTGATTAGATCACAATTATTTCTATATGGGAAGAATTCACTTGGTTATTGCCACCCTGCTTGCACTAATGAAGTAACAAACTCTGACAAGATTTTGCAGGAAAACGTGATGGAAACTCCAGAGCCATGGGCTGAAGTGCAGAACCTGGGTTTGGTGCTCAAGTTAGATGAGCCTGGGGAATCAGAAACAGTGATTGGGGATGAAGAAACTAGTAACCAAAAGCAAATCTAAGAAACATGTATTGTCATGGTTAATATTTTTGGGATAGAAGGTAACATATGGTGTAGCTGTTTTCTAGATGCTACCTCACGTCTAATCCTAACTGGGTTTTAGTTGGATGATTGTACCCCAAGTTATTATATTTTTCTAGTTGGATATTTGGATATGGACAATTTCACCTTTGTGAGAGTACAGTAGCTAAAGTCCTTAAATTATAAGGTTTTGTTGGGCAGTTGGATTGAATTTATGCAAATGAAAAGTTTTCAAGGCCAAATTGTCCAAAAAAAGTGGCTGCTGCTCGTCATATGAAACAAATAGTACTCTTAATCTTCAAGGTTGCTGCGCGTCACAAGGGACAATTTGGTATGAACAGATCTTAAACAGTTTATTTACTAAATGGTCAGTGAAAATTGGAATCAGCAAGGAATCACATTTTTTTAAGATGGACACTAAAATAACAAGACTATCTTGCCTTCATTTTTTCCAAACAACTTTTATAATTTGAAACCAACTCATGAATGAGAAAGACTCAGAGTTCCCCTCACAAGAAAGAAATAATGCTGATCCTAAACAAATTTTAATTCAACCTATACAGAGTTCAACAGACTCCATCCACCAATCAATGGTAAAATGTCCTGATTTGAATGGAAACAGTGCATCCCCCCTCCGATAAAACGATAAATGCTAATAATTAAATCAAAATAGGAAAAAACTTTCAGAGGACCAAAATTTTGCCAAGCTGTGGTTGACTACATGAAAAATTAACAGTAGAAACAAATTCATTAGAACTTGGTGGTGAAGAATGCATTAGTTCCTGGCATTGGCATTGGGCGGTTGAGTGGGAAGGAGGAGGGCTGCAAAATTGGAATGTGGTTTGGAACTGCGGCAAGCGGTTGGTGGCCACTGGCCATAAATGGCGGAGGAACGCAAAACTGCAATGCTTGTGCTGCTGCAGTGCCTGCATTTGTAGAGGTCTTTTAAATGAAGAAAAATGTCGATTTGTTTAAATTGAAATATTGTTTGGATTTAGTAGCATAATCTTAACGATCAATTTTGAAACCGATACTGTAATTGCCTTCTCACTTATGATAAAAACAGCGGCATCATAAAAAAAATAAATTGAGAAAAAAAATACCGAAGCTTATGATAAAAATTTTGAGCAATGCAAAGGAAATACTCGTCATTAGCCAGGAAAAAAAATTCACCTTGATGTTTTGGATATTGCGCAGGCTGTGTCGTCAACAAAGGGCAAGGTGGTACCGGTGAGACGACTGTTGCACCTTGAGCCAAGTCCTGAAATATGAGACGAGGTTAATAGGCAATTTGGACAGGAGAAGGAATAAAAATAATTTTAAAAAAGGGTAGCAGGAACCAGAAAGAGGTCACAGAAAGTTGAGGCATAGAGATATGCAACGTAATGAAAACAGATTATACAATGAATTGACCTAGAGGAAAAACCAAAGAACTTGAAATAATCCGATTTAAATTACTTCACAACTCACAATTCAAGAAGTAAATATTACGCTGCTCATGGCGTCAAGAAACATGAAGTGAAGAAAAAGATCAATTCTACAAGGTCAAATAATTCAAAGCAATAGAATTTATGGAAGGAGAGTTGATACTTTTAACAAATGGGACACTAAATACTTACATGGGAGACTGGCTGCATATAAACAAGTTGCCCAAAACGACTGACCATAACCTGTAACAATAAGAGAAGTGTAAAGGTTACCAACAAAATATGACCTGGTCATGGATAAAAACCAAGGTACGTTCTGATCTGTTCACAATTCTTTTTTTCTATTGAGAAACAGAGACATCATATATTCCAAAAGAAAAAAAAAAAACATAGCCAGCATAGGGATGAGGAATCCCTAATCTGCTAACTCAAATTGCAACTTTATTGGGAAGAAATTAAATGGAACGGTTAAATATGATCCTATTTCCACTTACTGCTGAAGAATTTGGGGGCCCAAAGGTCGGGCCAGCCTGGAGAGGATACTGACCAACATATCTAAGTGGCTGTGTCCTGGTGCCCACATGTCCCACCATCTGTAGTTTATAAAAGGGTAACTTGGCTCAGCAAAGTTGCAGGAAAGAAGTTTATTACCACAATTGCATTGAAATTGTCATAATGCTATTATCATCCTACTATGATTATAATACAATTAATGAACTAAATTACTACGTGTGACAATTACACGTCTTGTTGTAATAGAGTAGAATGAAGTTTCAGTGCAACGGTTGACTAAAATAGTAATATAACCACCATGTATCCTCACCACATAATCATAGGCAACCAAACTATCATTGGAAATGCAAATGCCAAGTACAAGTTCCAGGTTTCAATACTCATCAATCATTAAATCTGTTACCTAATTTACAGTACATTTTTTAAGAACTGATCGCATAAACAAGACCTAAAATTTCCTTCTTGAACGTGGGAAATGCCTAGGCTGGAACTCTGGAATTATACATTCAGTTTTGAGTTTTAACCTTAATTCATTTTGGTTGTGCGATAGAGAACAAACTAGAAGAAGAACTTATTTAGATCCTCATAAGGCTAAATAGATATGATAAGAAAGACAAAAGGAAAACTGATCAAGAGAAACCTCGAACAATACGTACGGGTTGAGAAAATTGAGCAACATTGCCATCAAATCCAGCTAATGAGTTGCCATATGGGACAAACTTGGCGGCAGGCACAGATGAACGAGGTACAAAAGGACTGAAATCTAACTCTGGTTGAACAACAGCCGAAGGTACAACTGGTGGTGAGTTGTTTGAAATGTAAGCCAGGTTTGCAGCCACTGGAGTTGCATGATTTGCTGGCATAATATTTGCATTGGACGGAGAGAAGAGTTTGGCTCTTGGATTAAGCTTAAATTCCTGCGTAAGTATGTAATAGAAAAATTATTTCACTAGTTATCAGAAAAGAAATATCAATTATAGTTTTTCTTGTCATCAATGTGTGATCAATCCCCACGAGCCTAACTTAACAACCATGAATAGGACCATATTGTACAAGAAATGTTCGAACACTTCTTAAATTTGGGGGGGGGGGGGAACAGTTTTAAAAGCTTATCCAATTATAAGTAACTCCTAAAAAGACACAATGTCATAGACCAAACAGTCCTTCGAATCAATTCAACCTCTTAGCAAACGAATACACAAAAGTTGCACATTATGCAGCTAATTTCAAAGTTGAATTTTTTAACAGGATTTGAAAGAAACAAGGCAACGTTGAAAAGAATCATCGCTTTAACATAAATGTACGAAGGCCATAGTCAAAGGTGATAAAACCGTGCACAACCTACCTCACATGGAAAAGTTTTCATTATGATGCATTTTCATTTCAAAAGGATGGGAACTTCATTCAAATTTCAATACATTTCTAGATCCAAATCTCATACATCAAAGGGAATAAGCTTATCTCAGTTGATTATGTTTTCGCTAATTACCCACTTTACCATCCTTCCCTTTCAAGATCCCTTCAAAACTAGGCTCTATGATTGAACTTCTTTTCTTTTTACAAGACATGTTTTCTGTTAAGAAAGAAAGAACGTTTTCGAAATAAATAAATAGTAAATTCCTTATGAAGAAAAGGAGTGGCAATCTTCTTGTTGGATGGCAGAATGTCACCCTGCCCAACCAATCACGTGGGCTGACAATTAGTAATATCCGAAGAAAATACCCAGCTAATTAATTATCTCAGTATGATGTGAATCCAACCTTTCCTCCATTGATTGTACCCAACGGAACTATTACAAGGAGCAAGGCAAAGAAATTTTGAACCTCAGAAGAAAATAAAGTGGACAAAGGAAAAGTCGTGTAGTTTGAAAGATGGCATAATGGACAGAAAACCTGTGGAGAATTTAAGTAAGGATATGCCTGCATTCTTCTAAGTTGCAATCCTGGACTTTTAAGTGTGGATATGAATAGATTTAGTTCCACTACCTTCAGCTCTTAAATGACACTCCCTTTCTATTTGCCTTATCAGCAGATCCTACAATGATAAGCAATCTATTCAAAATTAATTTTATCGTGGTTGGAATACTTGTACTACCTCTAAGGTAAGAGAAGTTGCTGATGGTTTTGGATGTAAACAACAAGTAGCGTCTTCCTTAATAATTAGCATCTTATAAGGGTTTCTGGGTAAATGAGTAGCATCCTCCTTAATGAAGTGGCCAGAAGTTTTGGGTACAAGGACAAGAAGTGTCTCTAGAGGCTTGGTAATGATGCTCGTGTTGCTTGTCTACAATGAAAGGCCCTAGAAAAAGACAACCTTTTATCTCAATTCTGTGCAACTTCAAGATGCTAAATTAAGATTAGATCAAAGAATATTTTGTGTTTTTGCAAGTTGGTGAGTGATGTGTAAAAAGAGGGGATGAACTGGTGACCACCTCTTCCTTTGGTACCACCTTTAAGCAAGAAATTGAGTAAGAAATTGGCAACGATCCCTTCCTTGGGGGATATTGTACTGATATGGGAATTTTGGCTGGGAAGAATAGTAGAATTTTTAACACATAAATAATAGCATGATAAATTTTTAACAGCCCCTGGCAGATGATTAATCCCAGTTAATTGGATGAAGGTATATTTTGACATCATCCAAATAAAAAGGTACTCAAAAGTAACCAAAAGTCTCGTAAACATCCTATCTTATAGTTCTAGTAGTGATAGTGATAAATTGATAATGATATGTACCTTGCCACTTTTATTGGATTCTGAACCGTGAGAAGGGGCCATGTCAATCGTTGACGTTATAGAACTGCGACATGAGTCCATGCTACTATCCACAGATGAACGTGAAGAAGTTGAGACACCAACTGAATATGCATTCGTAGTGTTGGCTGAGATGGATCTTTCAGTGCATGGTTTCTCTAATATAACAATAGCGGGAGCAAAACAGTTACACACTTTAAACAATATTTTTGAGGTCATCATTAAGTTCTTTTTCTTCTCAGAATTGCTTTATCATGCTGAAAATCCACCGTATATAAAGAAAACTATAATTCAAGTAGGCAAGGAATGATAAACATTACAAAGACTTCTCCACTCTGGAAGGTACTTGAAAACTATATAGCAAATTCATTAATGCCTAAACTAACAACAAGCTTGTCTCAAAGGCCAACCACCTATGATGTAATTTTTTTTTATTGTATTTAATACCGTAGGTACTAAACTAACAACAAGCTTATCTCAAAGGCCAACCACCTATGATGTAATTTTTTTTTATTGTA